GAATTTCTTTAAAGAAACCCCCAGTGGGTTCCATGGACCCAGAACTCCAACCACAGGGAAAATCACAGGATCTGTAGTCTGACCATGAAGTGTTATGTGTCAGAACTGGGCCTCTTCAGTTGCTGAAGGTTGGTGCAGTAGACAGCATGCCCAGACACATGTGAGGGATATGGCAGTTCATTGGGGCCTGCAGGAGACAGCTAGAACCATTGCAGAAGATGGATGGCAGAACAAATTGGATAGCTCTCCTGGTCAAGTGTTAACAGCATGTATCTGAGCAAATGGATACAAGTGGACCAAGGTGGACTAAGTCAGGCCTTGGAAAAATTTCCTCATCCCTGGAGCAATGAAATCAATAGCATTTCAGAACTATTGAAATCACTTGAGCATACCCCACATTGGGGACCTTGAGATGCTATTGGGTAGCTGTCCTCTATCCCCAGGTACTGATGTGGTTAGGATGCTAGGTGTAGCTTCTCCCCCTCTCTCCCCACTTACCCCAGATACAAGAAGAAAAAGAAAACTGGAACCAATAATCTCATCCAGTCTTCCCTATTCCTTGACCCTTCCCAACCTAATCAGTTAATCACATGGGCATACACCCTTCTCAACTATGTAATTATCATCAAAAATGAAATCTAAAAAGAGCCCATGAAAAAACATTTTAAACTTGAAATAAGATTAAAAAAAATGATTCATGATTTGGGAAGGTGGGAGGAAGGGAAATCCCAGAGATGGAACTGTATCATAAAAATAATAAAATAAATTTTTAAAATAAAATAAACAGCCCCAAACTTGCACCATTCCAAATTTATTTTTACCATATTGCAAGCAGATCTTCATCTAAACATTTGCAAACCAGTAATGGGGTAATCAAATGAATCTATTCTTTTCACTGCTTTTATAACTTTCTCTTTAGCAGTCTTTCCATCTCCTATATTTTGCTTTGAGACCCTCTAAGACCAGGGCAGGGGAGGAAATGTGAGATAAAGGAAAAAGCATTCTCCATAGCTGTTCCTGTCTTCATCAGCTGTGGAAAAAAAAAAAAACTCTGTCTCTTTTTGCCTTACCCAGCTCTTTTCCAAGAATTATTTGGCCAGCCTGTCCCAGGCTGTCCACTCGAGCTGCCCACACTGCATAGGGAAACTATATGTTGAGATGCTCTAGAGATCTCTGGTCTATGCCTGGTCCCCAGGGTAATTACAAATAGCACTTAAAACTTCCTCAATTTGGAATATAAATTACATAATCACCTAAACGCTGAACAGCTTCTCAGCTTGAACACACTCTAATTCCTTTGTGGCTCTACTTGCTGGTGGTTCACTCTGGAGAGTCATTCAGTCTAGAAGGGCAATCCCTCAAATGAGTACCCTTGGTTAGACACACACAACCCAAAGGAAATACATAGTCCTGCTTGCCCTGCTAGCTACCCTTGAGGCCTCTATCCTTGTTCAGTCACCAAATAGCTAGCCTTTAAAATACCTCTAGCCTCAGATTTTTCTAGATTGAGAAGAGACAATGCAAGTATCTGAATCCATGTGTCTATTTGTCACATCTGGCACAACAAAGCACCATACATTGGGTGGCTTAAACTACAGAAACTGGCTTTCTTACAGTTTTAGAGTATAGAATACAAGATCAAGGTGTCAAGGGATGCTTTTTCTCCTGGGTCTTTCCCCTTGGATTTCAGCAGCTGCTTTCTCCCTTTGTCTCTGCCTGGTTTACAAGGATACCAGTCATACTGGACTAGGGCCCAACCTAATTCTAACTTACTTACACCTTTCAAATGTCTTACGTCCAAATACATGAATCCTTCATAAACCCTCTCGAAATGGAATTAAGAGGTAAGTGCATTTTGGAGCCCAAACAAATGAGGCTCATAGGTGGTTTTGCCACCATATACTCCCTTCTCAAAAACTTGACAACACCATGTACCATCACAATCTGAGATACTGAGGATCATGAACGTGGTGTGAGGGGCAAACAACTCACCCCATAGCAACCCCCCAACTCTAGCGGACACCTCAATGTTTTCCAAAAACTCTTCTTTTCTGTCCTGGTAGTAACCTAGAGTTGGACTGCATATTTCAAGAGGTCAGTAACCAGTCATCCCAAAAACAAATAAGCACTATGTTCTCTGAAAAATATGAGACTTGGGGTCTTCTCATTCAGTGTGGGGAAGAAGTACCTGCCTCCAATTATCCATGATGAAGAGAATGGAAATCCCACTAAGATTTATTCCTTAACCTCTGATCCATGGCCAGTCTTCCTTCAGGTATTATGGAAATGCATGTTTAATTGAGATTTGCAGGCAAATTAATATGGTTCCAACCATCTCTCTTATTTGTAAAAGTAGTGAGGACTATTCTGTACCTCAGTCTAGACTACAGACAAACTTCTGACACAGCAAAAAAGCACATTTCTCCCCCTCGTAGTCATTGAAATAAATATTAAGCCCTTATTACAAAGCTGTAAACACAATCAGTTCAACACCTCTGTGCCCACTCAGATGTCATTGTTGAAGAGTTGGCTTTGCTTCTTAGCTTGAAGACATCCAATGATCTCTCCTAACCAGAAAGGAGTATCATGTGGGTGTCATTTCTCAAAAGAGACTGAAATGAGGATGCTGTTTGCTTAATGGATAAGTATGTCATACAGTGGCCTAAAGACCATACATGGCACAGCTTGGAGTTTCAACTTTAATGACAAAGTTGTCTGGGTGCCAATCCTACAACTACATTGAAGTCCCAGCAAGCATTTACAAGTGAGATATACCATGTGACCCACAACATGGTTCACTATACTACACAATCCTCTCCAGTAAGCATGAGATACTGGACAACGTACAGTCACCTACAACAGGACTATTAATGATTCTTGTTTCGTAGTCCAAGCTACCATTTCCCTGGTTTCTACCTATTATTCCAAATACTGAATGCATCCAATGATGGAACAGGGCTGAAAATGTCAATGAACACTCCCATCCATAAGAGGAAGATTAGAAGATGCCTGTGACAATATTGCAGGGCTCCGGCTCTGGAGTATAAGGATTCTCTTGCTTTGACCTGGTTCTGTGTCCTTTGAGGAACTTTCACCCCAACATTTCCACAGCCCTTGATTCTGTCCTCTCAGAGGAAATGTGCTTCCCAGAAAACCTCTTTAAATCTTTGAAATTTCAGTTTACTCATGAAACTTTGGGGCTCTAATCTCTTTCTGTATTCTCCTTTTCTTCTCCTGACCTCAAATTTTTGGCTGTTTTGGGTATTCAGGGAATGACTAAAAGATTCTCATTCATTCATAGTCTCTCTCTCACTTGCTCCCTCCCTCCTTCCTTACTTCCCTCTCTCCCTCCCTCTCTTCTCACCATCGCCCTTCCCTTTCTGTTATTTTGCCTTCCAAATAAATACATATAGAAAAAGTTTTAAAGGCAGCAGCCATTTACCCTAGTGGTTGAAATACCTATTAGCATGCCCATTCGCGTTACTCATCACAGCACTTGGGTTTGATATTCAGGCTCTGTATCCTGACTCCAACCTGCTCCTAACATAGATCCTGGCAGGGTAATGGCTCAGGTACTTGGTTCCTGTTACTTGCTTAAAACATCGACATTGAATTGCTGGTATCTAGCTTCAGTCTGGCCAGTGAACAAACTAGAGCTCTCCTCTATTAGTGGCTCTCTCTGTACTGGGTTCTCTGCCTCTGCAATAATTTTTTTTTTAAAACTAAAAGCTTTCTTAAAAATTCAAATGCTGTGTGTTTTAGGTGGGGAGGGATAAATTTCTGCACTCAGGGAATGTCTAATCTTTTTGCTTCTAGTCAGTTCCATGTTCTGTGTACCAATGGCCACACCCAGTTATTTCTTAGACACAGTAAGAAGTAGCGTTCAGAAAGACGTTGAAGAATAAGTTCCAGTAACACTTCTTTGTTAAATGAAGTGACTCAGGAGAAAGATCAAATTAAGGAAGTGTCCCTCCCATTAAAGTCAATGAACTCTAAGGTAGCAAACACCAAGTGAAAGAGAGGGAGGGAGGAGGGGATTTGGGAAGAAGGGAGGGAAGGAAGAAAAAGGGGGGGTGCATGGAGACAGGAAAGCAAATAAGGCCAACATGAGAGTTAATCATCTCAAGCTGCTCCAACAAGTATTTTTTCACCTAAAATAGCCTCTTTTCTTTTCTTCAGATTTGTTTTGTGGAAACACCCTTCCCTTGAATTCCCTTACCAAACATACAATTAGGAATTTTTTTTCCCTTTCAATGCAAAAGTGATTAAACACAGAGCTGCTATTCAAGTATGTTAGAAGTAAAAACTGTGAGAGCATTTTCTTTTGTTCTGTCACGATTGAAACTGGACTGTTACAGATCTAAGATCATCCACATTCATGGAAGGAAAAGATGTGACAGAAGCAACAAGTCCCTTACAACAAGCCGGAATTCATACGGCAGCCCACCTGTGCTTTTACAGCCTGAATACTATCACACTTCTATTTGGAAATGAAGGGACAGAGCTATACTAATTAAAAGATTATCATTAGTCAAAAATACAAAGTAGCGCATGTTTGGCCAAATCTTTTGTTGAAAAAAAAATGAAGAATAGAGAATAATGGCCTTACAATACTAAATAAAGCAAAAAATTTCTAACTTGGGAATCAATTTGGGTATATTAATTCTTTATCCTCTAGGAATTTCTGAAATGGACTTACAATTTTTCAACACCAAAACTAATGTGTGCCCTAGGAGTCATCAGGTGGTAGCCAAATATTTAGGTCACTGCCACTGATAAGGGAAATATAGATTGAATTCCATGCTCATGGCTTTGGCCTGGCCCAGGCCCACCTTGTAGACAGCTTGGAAGTGAACCAGCAAATTAATTATCTCTGTCTCTTCTTGTCTTTTAAATAATATCTTTTTAAAAAAGTTTAATAAAATTACCATTTATAGGAAAAAATTTTGTGGGACTGTATCAGTTATTCATGAACATAGCCCCAGCAACTGCCAGGTGATAACAGCTCCCTCTCTTTCAATTCCTGTTTTAATAAATATTTGCAGAGAAGATTAGCATGGCCCCTGTGCGAGGATGACATGCAAATTCATGAGGTGTTCCATATTTTTTTAAATTTCTAACTATAAATGTATGGATTTATTTCTGGATTCCAAATTCTATTGTAATTCTTCTACATGTCTATCCTCATCAGAACTATTTTGTATTGATTATCAGAGTTTTTCTTAACTTACATAAAATGTAAAAACCCATAAATGTGACTATTGTGGGCATTTGGGGTGTGAACCGGAGAGGAAACATAAATGTCCCGTTCCCTTCCTTTTTCCTTCTCCTATCACTTTTATTTTCAAATAAATAAAATGTTAATAAGATTATAAATGGCAATTAACCATGGAATTAAATACAATTTGTTGATCATTGAAACTTCCTTATGTAAAAAGCATTTACTGAAATGTCATAGAGCTATTCAAAGTATTAATTTTCTTTAGTGGAGGAATGGATTGCTATCATTTTCATGTCATCTACACCAACCACTGTAGATCTGGCAAGACAGATACAAATTCCTTTCAGTCAAGAGCTGCACAGTTGGAGAGAACCTCTGAATCTGTCAACCATGCAGCAGGTACGCTGGCCATCTATGAAATACTCCTGACTGCAAGCAGCACTGCACACCACACATCCCTGCCTAAAATTACAAACACCTTCTTGTCTTGTATGTGGATGGAGTAAATATGAGATTTTTAAGAAGTCACATTTTCATTTCCTTCTGGAAAAAGAAAAACATTCTTGTGGTAAAATACAAATATTTCTACATCTTTGCTACTGATCCCATCGAGGCATTTCCCATCTTGACTCTAGATTGGCCTTTGATTGTTCTGACAGATAAGATGTGGGAAAGGTGATGGTGGACTCCAGAAGATTATGATTTGTAATTTCGTGTGCTCAGACCGTTATGTAAGGAGCATGACTTCCTTTATACAGGAAGTCACTTGGGGAAATCTCAAAGCCGCTTTGGATGTTCTAGCAACACTCCCCTCCCCAACACATACACCAAGGTCCTGGCAAAAGAATCCCTCACCCTGATCCCCAGCCAATGCTCAGAATGTCGAGTAGTAATAAAGGGCTGTTTTGTGCCATTGAATTTTGGAGTGCTATGTTGTATAAGAAAAAAAAACAAAATAAGACAACTTTTTATATAAATGTTGGGTGAAAAATAAGACGCTTTTACAACAGAAGAAATACATTTTGCATTATTAGAAATTTATTTCCATGATAGAAGTTACAGTATCTTTAAATTAATCTACTAACATTCATTGATTCACACATTCTACTAAAATAGAATTACTGATTTTCTACAAAACACTAGATACTCTTCTAAGTGCCTAGATAGTCAGCTTTAAACAAGACAAGATAGATACCTTCCTTTGTAATGAAGCTTAGTGAAAGCTAACAAAAGAAAACAGGATCATGTAGAAAACAAAGAATGGGATGAGAAACACACATGAAATGGGAGAAAAGATTGTCCAACAAGGGGATAATCTAAAACTGAACCCAGAACAACAAGAAATAGCAGGGAAGATCTATAGGAGCAGAGGAGGACAGCAAAGCTTTCCACACAGCAGGGAACAGCTGGTGCAAATGGACTGAGCTGATATGTGGCAGCCTTACTGAAGGAATAGCAAGGCCAAGGAGTCAGAACAAAAGCGAACAAGAAGAAAAATGCTTCACAGTGATCAAAGGAGGAGGCGGAGACCAGAGAGATCATGCAGGGACCGCATAAGCCACAGAAACTGGTTTCAGCTTCATTCCAAGGGACTACAAGTTACTGTGAGAGTTAGAGTCATAATTAAGGAGGGTCTTTAATTGAACCCTTCAAGGGCTATGAAACTATGTCAAGGATTACCTCAATTCACATGAATGAAGGAATACATATAAGTAAACTAAGAGAAGTAACACCACAAGAAGGAGGCCAGAACACATGCACACTCAGTACTTCCTACCCCTGTAGCAATGGCAGCAATAGCCAGCAGAATGCAAAAGAAAGCAGTAAACGACTATAACAAACCAAAGGCACTCTTCTGCATTACACAGGATAATAGTGGCTTGGATTTTGCTGTTTCAGAGCCAACAAAGGAGCTGCACTCTCACACTTCATGCAGCTACTCCATGAAGAGAGCTAGGAAGACATTCTCCTAACTTCAAAATGGAAATCAAGATTCAAGACCTCACACCCAAGGAGGAAGTGCAGAACCTCTGATCAAGTAGATTATATGGCACGACCTCATCAAACTCTGAAGAATCTACCCCAGAAATATGTGGAAAATCATAAAAAGTGCAGGATTCTTTAGAGACTCGTTGAAAACAATTCACCAAAAGCTTTCTATTCACCTCCCTGGGCACCAGGTAGGATTTCAGTATTTGATGATCCAAAAGCAAGCATGGCCTTCAGATTAAGACAGAGTAAATCATACTCACCTCTCCTTTTGACCTTAATACACATGAAAAAGGCCATTCTGCATCCCTTTAGTACACAGATGTGAATGTAGAACCATCACAAATTTCTAAAGCAGCCTCTCAATTCATCTAGAAAGTCTTTTATGAATTTTCAAATACATTTTGGGAAACTTGGAAAACAATCTTGAAGAAAAGCTAACATTAACGGTTCTCTGAATTATTTTTGTATGTTCCCCACTTTCTTTTTTCACTGCTTTCAATAGGAAGGAACTATATGAGAAATAACCCTAAAATTATCAGAATAATAGGACTGCAGGAAATAAATACCCTTTAAGTGTATATAACACATATAATAATATATATAAATGTCCATAAAGGAAATATCAGAAAACACATGGTAAACAGCTTTCAATGGATCAGCAGAGGCTTAATCATAATTTATAATAACCCTTTTCTAGATCCCTGTTGGACATTTTCTAAAGTTATTCCTAGGTGAGTGTTTGTCCTCAAGGCATGTTTACACAGTAAAGACATCTTCTCAATCAGATATGTGAAAATGCTGAGAGAGGGACCTACCACCACACTCAGATATTTAACAATAATTTAGTGATATGTTATAAGGGAACTCATTTTATATATGGATATTGGTTTATTCTGTATTTTAAAAAGCAAAAAATCTTCAACAACAACACAATGGACTTGTGACTATCCAGGAAAGGTATCCATTGTAAAATTAGAGTGGAACTCAATGAGGCAAAGGAGAGATCTTGGGGGAGGACATGGCAACCCCAGAACCTGCGGAGCTATCTCATAAAGCAAAATAAAATATGTTAAAAAAAATTTTAAAGAACTAAAGCTATAAAAAGCAACAAATCTTAAAATAATTTTGTATGAACAACAGATGATGTGATTAATAATCTGACAAGCCAGCATAAAAATTTCACCCAATGCATCACTTTCACTATATGTACTCCAAATTTAAAGGACAAAAACTACAAGGTTTTGTATTTGGATTTTTATGTAACAAATCCCCTTCCCTTGTGGTATTTAACCAGTCCCTATAGAATTCACAAAATGATACACCCCTCAATTTTTCAAATTATATCCAGAGAGAGCACTATGCTTGTTTTACCCCAACAGACTACTTGCTTTTGACATGATTCAACTTGTTTTTGTTTTCTAGTGTTGAAAGGAGTGGAAAAATTGATCCAGTTAATAAACATTTCTGAAAAACATTAACACACAACAAGTGAAAAGGGACATGCTTTTAAAAATTGATGAGAAACAAAGCCAGCTGCGAGGGGGAAAAAATAAGTCTACTGAAAAAAAATGAACAAAATTTTATTTTCAAGCATAGCCTCAAAGACGATGAATGTTTTCAATCTAAGTGAGCAACAAAGGCCACTTTGGAAAAATATCTGTCCAGTAAAGACACTGATTTGAGAACTTAAGAAGAAAAAAATAATAAAGGTCCAGTAAGAATACAAAGAAAATAGACAACCATAGTAATAATTATCATCACCATGCAGAAAATGGTGCTGAAGTATTGTGAGCACACTAGAAGGAAGGCACCCAAACATCCCATAGATTAGCAGCAGCAAGCTCAGCCAGGTGCCTGGGGCCATAAAGACCTCCAAGTCTAGTACATGTGGGTTCTCCCTGGTCTACTGCTAACTAGCAGAGGGACTTGGACCTCCTCATTACCCCCAAAGAAAAACAGGAAACACCTCCGTCTCCTGTGGTGCTTGACTACTTATTCCATAATGTCACGAAGAAAGGCATATCCTAACGACTACAGGTAAGAGTAAGAACATTTTAGCGGAAAGTTGGCAAATTCCCCAGTTTGCAGAAATACTATTGTGCACATTATGCCTTGGTACATAATTACTCTTGGAGCTAGCAATACTTAAATCCCTGTTTCTTTCCAGTCATGACTATCCCATTGCTGGAAAGCACATTCCCTGTCACTCAGTGCCCATAAACAGGCTGCAGCACCACCTAGTTGGATGTGGCAGAGAATTCCCATATCATTAGGTAGGTGCTGGCACCTAGGACGCATTCCCTGCCTCTCCTAACAACCAAGTACTGAAAGTATGTCACTCTGCTATGCAAATGAACAAGCTTAAACTCAGAAATTTTCACTGTTTACAAGCTGAGATTTAAGCCTACTTTCAAAGATGGCACATCTTCCCTATAATCATCATTCAATACCATCACAAAAACTGGGAAAATATTGAGTAGAATATATAGTTCATGATACATGTATTCAAACCATTGCATTATACTATTGCAATAACACAGGGTAAATCAGTGCGGGGCAGGGAGAAGGGGGAAGTTCGAAGAGGAAATCCTTGAGCCTATGAAACTGTATGACAGAAAGTTAAATAAATAAAGTTTCTTTTAAAATATAAAGGTGAATAAAATGTCATTTGATTAGACTAAGAAATGCAAAAGAAATTTCAATCATTGCTTCAATTCACTGTCATTCAGTGCTAATTCTTACTGCTCCTCCCCGACAAAATGAAGTCCTGTTTGAGAAATTCAGCATGTGGCAAAATGAGTTAGGTAGCTACTTGTGATGCCAGAATCCCATATGAGTATCCATTCGAGTCCAGCTGTTCCAGTTCCAGTTTCAGTCCATGTGGAAAAGCAGCAA